ATCCGAGAAATGTACTGGTAGATAAATATAAATGATCAAGGAAGGCTATGAAGGAGGAATAGTTATTTTTCAACAACACACTTCCTTGATATAACTTCTCCGATTTCAATATGATGAAATCAGTAACGTGGCGACGAAGGTCCAAAGCTTCTAGAGGAATACAGGCGGTTTTCAAAGTATGTGGAACAAATCCAGGGAGGGACTTTGGACCATTTATACGAGTACTTCTTCGTTTGAAATAAGAGACGCACAAAATTTTTGAAAATAACTAGTGTTCTCCAGCAAAAACCAGACATGGAGCTTCCTAATTTCGAAATGTTCAAAATGGTCGAACTCATATACAATGTAAGGTTCCAATCTTCTCTTCAGAGGCCTCCAAAGTCTCTCAAATACACAAAATGGGTTCTTGATTGAGTTACGATCAGCAACTGAAGTAAACTAAACAAATACTAGATGATCCCATGCAAAATCTTGGAGACTTATGTTCCAAGATTGAATATGCCTGAAAATCTCTTCTTGCAGATTCTTGATCCAAGCAAGGATAATATATTTTACACCTACACAACAAACTTAACATGGTTAGACTCCCCCAAACAGCTGCTTCCTCATATCTCCTGACATTCATTATTATACAGGGGTGACTTCGAAGTTGAGTCATTTATTTTAACAGTGAGTAAATCTGATCAAAAGAAATGTTTTTTCCTTTAACATTTTTCTGGTAAAATTAAAGTAACAAAGTTATAGCCCTTTAGAAGTTTGAGTACCGCCCTGTCTCAATAATAATATTATGTGCTCGTGTTTGGCAACAACGGATATAATCCGCCTTATCGGTTCACCGCATCGGAAACAAAAAAGCGAAAGAATTTGAAACGCTGATCACGACGTTTTTATTCAGTCAATGTGTCAGTCGGTAACGCGTGAGTGAATAGTGGTGTTTGCTGGGTGGCTCAAACGAAATAAAAAATGGCACATGTTTATGCGGATCGATTTCCCAATCGAGTGCAACCAACCCCTCGTGCCTTTGTTAATGTAGTACAACGGGCTCGTGAATCAGGTGACTTAAGACCTCACAGGGGACGGCATGCCGGTGCTCCAAGACCTCACGATCAAATACAGGTCCGCACTGAAATACTTGTCGGGAGGATACTTTATAAAACAAGGTAAAATGTGTTTTTTTATTTTTTTTATTTTTACACACATATTTTGGTTTATCTTCCTTCTACAATCATTATCTGAAACTTAACAGTATAACAGTTTTACTTTGAAATAGCTTATTTTGCTGAAACTTAAAATATGTGACCGGAAATGAAAAACCTTCACCAAAATACTTGAATCCAAATGAGTTGATACTGTCAGCAAACGGCAGGCCATTTTGATATGCACATTTTAAAAACTCCCCTTTTTCCCCCTAGGGCAAAATTGAATGAGTTTAGCTTTAGTTGAGATGTTGATTTGATACGTATGGGCAACCAGTTTGAGTTTTTTGTAGCTTCACCGTGCTTATCAAGTTGAAACTACATTAAAACCTGTGAATCCTCCGCTTAACAGTTACCCTGCATTAGTTCTGAGAGGTGTACACAAGAAATTATATCGGCCTAGTCTTATCCCTATGGTACACCCGAGCGAATATCTTGTAACTGTGAAAAAGGATTCCAAGAAATACCATCTTAAACTCGGACACCAGTGTAGTGCTAATTTCTGCTGGGAAAGGCTTTAACCCGCCGGTAGTCGCGCCCTGGTTTTGTACTCTGTTGGTCGCGCTGGGTCTATCAGACCCAGGCAAACTTTCAATTTTCTTTGGTACAACAAGCCGATTGCCTAGAATAACTCATGAACCAGTATATTGTTTGACATATATCAACTCATACTTTCAAAAATAGAACATCGACGAAATAAAATGCGTTTATTACCTCTTAATATATTTACATCAAAATTTCAAATAAAAGCAATCAAAAAAAAAACAGTTAAATAAAACACTGAAGGCAAAGATAATGATCGATAAGAAACATTAACTTAATGAATAATGACAAATTAATTGCTGTCATTTTTAGAACCTTTTTTCTCCCCATAAGAGTCTTGACACTGCAAGAAATCTGTATTCAGTCGCGCTGGGTCTGAAATTCAAAACTTGAACAACACACTCATCTTTGCGGCTGCGCTGACACTAACAATGGATATGCAGGTATAATCTTCATCACACTATAGGAAGGTAGTGGGAAGGAGACATCGGGCAGTGTTGTCACATATGCGTAACGATAGCTTTTAGAAGCGTATGGGTCAGCCACACCTGGCGCGAAATTGTGGAACATGCTCCTTGATGTGGGCAGACGAAAAACCATTCTTCCTGTATACATAATATGCAAATTCCTTTCCGGCGCAGAAATTCCTGGAGTCTCCCACCCACCCATCTCCCAAGGAGTCTCGCGATAAGCGCGAACAGATAAGACCTAATAAAATGGCTAGTCTGCCCATCTTCTCAGCGCCCCGCGGGGTCCCGACAATGCTTTCCCACGTCCGCTGGTAATTATACAATGGAAATTTAATAAAAAAAAGTCCCTCCGTAGACGAAAGAGAGGGAAAAAGCAAATTACCGCAACGATTTTGTTCAAGCTAGCGTAAACGTCTAGGCTATAGGCCAGGGAATAGGGCGATTCCGTATGCAAAGTTTTGCAATAAGAAGCTAGAACATTGTCTCTGATGATAAATTTAAATAGGAGTCAAACATTTATGGTGGGGGGGGGGGGTTGTAGAGGGGCGGGTATGTTACTATATTTATACGCTCCTCAGGTATCTGTCCTTTCGCAGCAGACAGAGCGCGTAAATATCGGCCGCGTCTGCTTCTGCTCGCGGCGGCGTGCCCGGTAAGTATTCTGGTATTACTGCTGCGTCTGCTGGTGATCGAGTTTGGTATTGGGGAGAGGCGACGCTGCCAGATGGACTACCGGTAGGGCAGCGAAATAACGTCTATGGACTAAGTGTACAGACCTCTTTGACTGATTTATTTCTCATGAACTGATAACAGCGTTGCGGGTGACGAGTCAATCTACTTGACTTCATTTTTTTGTAGTTGGAATGGCTAATGCTCCAGCTCTATATCACTATATCACGTCGCCCTGAATTAAAAGATTCTGATAATCTCGAAAAAAACGCTCGCCACATTTTTTGTGAAAAAATACCTATTCCCTGGAGTATACGCTACCCGAGGCTTGAGATTGTGGTCTTATTGTTGTCTGCGCTCGGTCATCCGTAGGGGTCATGGGTTAGAAGAAGGGTAAAGGCATCATGGTGCGTGAACCGGGTACAGGTGGATTGCGATCAACGAAGCAGAAATTTAGTGGAGATAAGGTATGGTGATAGAACAGCGCAACGTGTATTTCGGTTGTCACATTTACATATTCTCTACCCTGTGTAAATTATCATAAATAAAAGCTGAAAAATCAGATAAAGAGAAAATAGAGTACCATGAAATTTTAATGACGAAAAAATCAGTACTCTAGCTAGAATAGTGGCGGAGGTGCGACATGTCAAAGTTGAGTGTTTTATTTCCATCCAAATCTGTGATAAAATGTAGGGCTATCTATTTAAAAAAAAAATATTTTTGGGTCACAACGTAGATATGAATTACCTTGTAGATTTGAAATACTTCTTATAGCACTATTCCAGTTCAAACTGTTTGTTGTGTGGAACATTGGGATAAAACAAAAGAGTCCAGATCAAATCATCATCAAAATGCAAAAATAATTGGAAAGTATTTTCATCGGTTCTATAAATTCCATTCAATGTTTACAAATAGCATTTCCACATAAAAGGACAATGCTTATGCATATACTCTAACGTTATTAATAGCCTCCTGGTATAATGGTTATTGGAAGAATTAAAGTTAGGTTGTAGAATAACTGGCTGGCACTCTGGATGATTTAGTGAGATTAACCTTGATCTTCACGATTAAAAGTGAGGTTATTGCCAATGAGCTGCAGGCTGTATATTGCTGCACACAGAAGAAATACTGTTACACTGTTCCAGCTTGACGTCTTTATAATATTATGATGCATACAGTTACTACATAATAAAGGAAGGTTATACTAAAATTTAAAGCTTGTAATTTCATGCATTTCTCGATCCTTTATGGTTCATACACATTCCTCTTACGTCTTCCTAGTCGCAATTCTGTTTTACATATCAAGTCCACATGTTATACCTCAGAATCGGCCCAATGATTATCTGTTCATCGTATTCGAATTTAGCGCCGAAAAATACCTAGCAATTTTTCAAGTAAGAACTGTTTTGTAATGGAGTCGGAGAAACATTATTTTAGAACGAAAATTGTATGGCAAACTAAAATATTAGTATTTTTTCGTTTTACTTAACATGCCCACTGGCGAGTAAGTACTGTAATCACGAAAGCATTTCGACCAAGGCTGCAGCCTTGTTAGATGATGGGATCCAAAAGCTGGTGCCATGAATTGACAAATGTTTAAGGTGATTAATGTAAAAAATGTTCATATTTTAATTTATGATACAATTTACGTACATAAATAAAGTTTCTTTGGCTCCACTACAAAACAGTTCTTACGTAAAAATGACCCTTGTACATGTTATTAAATACTTGATTTTCTACCTAAAACTCGATCCACCATTTTTTGGCATTCATATTCAAATTCCGCGCCACAATTTACCTATCAGTGCTAAGTTTGATTCGATAGTAATAACGGGAGACTATAATAAAAATTTTGCTCTTCAGTCTTACATGACTTTGTAGCTATGCCTCAATCACGTCTCCTATTGCCAAAGTCAATTCTTTTTGTCTGGTTTCTGAGTTACTAGACCTGACACAAGAGCTAAGGATCTACGAACCGTTCTGACAACCAACACTAACTTGAATAGCCACATTAAATCATCTGTCATTCGCCCATCTGTCAGTAGTAGATACATAACTGACATAAGCCTTGTGCTTGGCACCTCAAAGATTTTCTAAAAATTACTGTGAGCCTCTGTAGCTTATGAATATGGACGACACTATCACATGCAGTGAATCCTTGCTATCGAACCATCAAAAGGATACAGAAAATCATGTAGAAGATACAGAAGACGACTATTCCGAATCTGGAACTTGTATCAATTCAATACTCTCAGAAACATCAACGGTTGCCTCATCAAGTAAGTCAAATTTCAAAATGATAAACGAGAAAGAAAGGATTGGCGAGCTCAAAAGAAAAATGATGCTTCTACTGAGTAAGTACGATCACATGAGTGATGAAATTGAAGCAATGAACGAGACAATCAAATGTATTAGATTGAGAAATTCCATTTTACTCAAACGGATCCAAAAGAGTGACGATGAAACCTTAAATGCTCAGCATACGCAGCTGGTACAGTGACTCGTGCTACAGATTGAGTAAAAGTTTCTAGGATAAAGAATATACAATAAATTTCATTCACCCTGTAATATATGCTTATGGTTACTACTGTATATTTCAAATTCAACCCTCGCCACTGGGATACCGCATATAGGTAACAAGAAACATGCACTTACGTGAGTTGGGGTTTTAAAATTAACTGCATATAACTCTTGCCACATTTTCTACTTTACAATGTGGCATGATTAGAATTATAATCTGATGTTTTGTCTCTTAACCTCAATCATGAATTTTTTTATGTACTACGTACTGGATTCTTGCACAGGTAGAGAGAGTTCTTAATTATGATTTCAAAAATGTATCCATCTGTCATTCATAATATTGTCAGGTATCTTTGTTAATTTACATTTATGGTCATGGAGTCTATATACCAGGAGAAACTAGGAAAGTGCTGTTTGAGTTGTAAAAACAACTCCAAAACTTGTCGCCTGGAGTACCAGTGGTGCTTTGACATGGTTGCCATTTTGGAGGATTTTCCCCAAAATTTGGTTTTATTTGGTAAATTTTCGGGGGAATAATCTTCAGGGAAGATCACACGTTTCGTGGTCAGAAAGCATACCCGCCGCTATTTGAAACAAATCTACCCTTTCCATTAACTGATATGGGAGATTGTTTTTAAGTAGCAATTCTGAGGGATCTTTGTGCTGGGGAAATTGTGCCTGACCCATCTGCCAACGCTGCCCCTTGACAGGGCAGTTTCGTAGTAGTCTAAGATTCAACGCGGTGAGATCTCGTATTATAACCTCAGATGACCTGCGCATGCGCAGTACCTAATACTCAAATCGATCATCGCGCCCTCAGTGAGGCGTCAAGTTTTGGGGTCGTTTTTTGCTCATTTTGCCCCTTTTTTGGTATATAGAATCTATATTTATGATGATTAGTGATCTGTGACTAGTTCACGTTATGTCTTCATATATTTCGTTGTGAGAAATTTTAAGAAGAAATCGTTAAGGTTTTGAAAAACCCAAGCTCCTCGAGCATTATACTCATCAGTACCCCTCACAGAGGTATGCTAACTGATGTGTTGTGATGAAAACAAGAGTAGGTGAAAACTTCGGTCATGTTGCAGGCTGCTCAACACATTTTATATCCGTCATATCTAAACCCATGCACGGACATTTACATAATATTAATCTACAGGTAAATGCCCGTGCAGGAAGGATTTGTCGTGTTAAAATAAGGCTTTCAAAATATGCTATTCAATGCCCACCGCTTTGTTTTACAGAGAAGAATTAGGTCTGCTAGCCCTGGGAAACGGTTAGAGATACGAAGTCTTAAACGGGGGCAAAGTTGCGTATTTTCCGTATTTTCCCAAATAATTTTTTCTTGAGCTCAGTTGTAGTGGGAATTCAAAATAAATTGCACTTATTATATTGTCACTTTTTCTCCTCTACAACGTAACATATACTACGTGACATATAAATCCGAACACCCAGTTTAAATGGTTTTATTTTAATAAAATTTTGTATAAGTACTTAATGAAGCATAATAAGTAAATGATAAAAATTTCAAAATGATTGCACTGCTTTAAAGCCCTTTGACCTTTAATAATGTGTGGATGCATCCTGATGTGCTACGCATTCTCCAACGCGCCTAGGCATGCTTCTGATCAGGTGGTCAATGTCCTCCTGTGGTATCTCATTCCAGGCAACCACCAACTCCTCTCGAAGTGCTTCTAGAATCTGAGGAGGACGTTGCAAATTGAGCAATCTCCTACCCATCATATCCCACACGTGCTCAATTGGGGATAAGTCGGGAGATCTTGGTGGCCATGGTAACAATGTGACATCATTATGCTGAAAGAAGTCTATTATGACTCTTGCAACATGTGGTCGGGCATTATCTTGTTGGAAAGTTGGATCTGCCAGGGTGTCAAGATAGGGTAAAAGATGGGGTTCTAGAACTTCGTGGATATAACGCTGCGCGTTCATGTTACCTCTGATGAAGATTAAAGGTGACCTGGAACCATAAGCTATAGCACCCCAAACCATAACTCCAACAGTGTGATGAACATGTCTTTCAACAAAAAACTGTGGATTCCTCCTTTCACCACGTCGCCTTCTAACCCTGGCACGACCATCGTGCATGCCTAAACAAAATCGAGACTCGTCACTAAAGACAATACTGTTCCATTCCTGATCCCAGAGTGACCGTTGTCTGCACCACTCAAGGCGATTACGTCGGTGTTCTCGAGTTAAAGGGAGGACCCAGTGTGGCCGGTATGAAAACAAGCCAAAACTTCTCATTCGTCGGTAAACACTTCGCATGCCAATAGGTCTTCCGTGTCCTGCAAACCATTAATTTGCAATGGACCTGGTAGTGGAGAAACGGTCCCTTAAGGCCAATAATCTTAGGCGGCGATCTTCACGGTCTGTTGTTCTACGGCGGCGTCCAGTGCCCCTTGCTCTTTGCGTACGGCCTTCTCGAAGCCATGCCTGACAACACCTAACCACAGTGTCTACACTTCTTTGCACTCTAACTGCAATTACTCGAAAAGAAAGTCCAGCTTCCCGAAGTCCCACTATACGGCCCCTATCAAACTCACTAAGTTGACGAAATCGTACAGGTCTCCGTACTGTAGGCATCGTAACCGATCGTAAAGGATGTCAAGAACCACAATCCGCCAACGTTGATTCTTTACTGCGGTTGAAATATTCATTTTTAGAGCGTTAGTAAATTAAAAAAAAAGCAGTATAAAAATGTCCAACTGATAAGGCTGAACATTTTTTCACTTGTTATTTACAGTAAGATAAATACATTCACCAACTTTTATTAAAATAAAACCATTTAAACTGGGTGTTCGGATTTATATGTCACTTAGTATAAATAGAATAGAATTTTGATATTACCTTTCGTCTGTTGTCCTCCAGGATAAACTTTATTATTTTTTCTTATGGACGCCTTTTTGGGCTTTTACGCGTTTTTAATTCTCGTTCCAAAAATGCGTGATATGGCATACACGGACATTGCCAAACCTTAGTGTTTTAAAAAAGAGCAGAATTTCCTAGGTAGGCCTTGAAATTACCAGAAATCTTTTGTTTCATATACCAGATTTATGGCAAAATCATAACTCAAAAACAATAACAATTATAAATAAGCAGAGGTAAATCGTAGCACATTTTCACTATGTTGTCCGCCATTTTGTAGGCAAAACCTGACTCTTTTCTATACATTGTTCAGCGCTCAGTTTATTATGATTTTACGATCAATCTGGTATATGAAACGAATGACTATATGATAATTTCAATGCCTACCCAGGAAACTCTGTTTTTTTTTTTGAAGCAACTAAGGATTGACAGTCTCAATGTATGACGAGAATTAGACATTCTATACTAAGTGACATATAAATCCGAACACCCAGTTTAAATGGTTTTATTTTAATAAAATTTTGTATAAGTACTTTATGAAGCATAATAAGTAAATGATAAAAATTTCAAAATGATTGCACTGCTTTAAAGCCCTTTGACCTTTAATAATGTGTGGATGCACCCTGATGTGCTACGCATTCTCCAACACGCCTAGGCGTGATTCTATGATCAGGTGGTCAACGTCCTCCTGTGGTATCTCAGTCCAGGCAACCACCAACTCCTCTCGAAGTGCTTCTAGAGTCTGAGGAGGACGTTGCAAATTGAGCAATCTCCTACCCATCATATCCCACACGTGCTCAATTGGGAATAAGTCGGGAGATCTTGGTGGCCATGGTAACAATGTGACATCATTTTGTTGAAAGAAGTCTATTGTGACTCTTGCAACATGTGGTCGCGCATTATCTTGTTGGAAAGTTGGATCTGTCAGGGTGTCAAGATAGGGTAAAAGATGGGGTTCTAGAACTTCGTGAATATAACGCTGCGCGTTCATGTTACCTCTGATGAAGATTAAAGGTGACCTGGAACCATAAGCTATAGCACCCCAAACCATAACTCCAACAGTGTGATGAACATGTCTTTCAACAAAAAACTGTGGATTCCTCCTTTCACCACGTCGCCTTCTAACCCTGGCACGACCATCGTGCATGCCTAAACAAAATCGAAACTCGTCACTAAAGACAATACTGTTCCATTCCTGATCCCAGAGTGACCGTTGTCTGCACCACACAAGGCGATTACGTCGGTGTTCTCGAGTTAAAGGGAGCACCCAGTGTGGCCGGTATGAAAACAAGCCAAAACTTCTCATTCGTCGGTAAACACTTCGCATGCCAATAGGTCTTCCGTAATCTGCAAACCATTCATTTGCAATGGACCTGGTAGTGGAGAAACGGTCCCTTAAGGCCAATAATCTCAGGCGGCGATCTTCACGGTCTGTTGTTCTACGGCGGCGTCCAGTGCCCTTTGCTCTTTGCGTACGGCCTTCTCAAAGCCATGCCTGACAATACCTAACCACAGTGTCTACACTTCTTTGCACTCTAACTGCAACTGCCCGAAAAGAAAGTCCAGCTTCCCGAAGTCCCACTATACGGCCCCTATCAAACTCACTAAGTTCACGAAATCGTACAGGTCTCCGTACTCTAGGCATCGTAACCGATCGTAAAGGATGTCAAGAACCAAAATCCGCCAACGTTGATTCTTTACTGCGGCTGAAATATTCATTTTTAGAGCGTTAGTGAATTAAAAAAAAGCAGTATAAAAACCGGAATGTCCAACTGATAAGGCTGAAAATTTTTTCACTTGTTATTTACAGTAAGATAAATACATTCACCAACTTTTATTAAAATAAAACCATTTAAACTGGGTGTTCGGATTTATATGTCACTTAGTATATTTATCTGTAAAGGCCCAATAAAGCGTTAGTAAGAAAAAATAAAGTTGATACTGAAGAGATGAAACATCATATTGAAATTCACCTTGTAGAGAAAACGTGTCAATGTAAGCAATACAGTGCAACAAATTTTCTCATTACTAATAAATTCAGGAAAAAATAGAACGATTTTGGAAAAATTCCGTTGCGTTTACTGTATACCCGAT